ACCGATACCATGTCGATAATATCGTGCATCCCTAATCATAGCACCAGGCTGAACCATCATACTTGGTATTAAATATCGTTTTGAAAACTAATTATTTGCTGAACTGTTGGAACTTTTCATCTGTTTGTTGTGGTACAACTAAAATATATTGGAGTTTTACCATTAAGCTCTACCTCCAGCAGTGATAGGATGGAGATAAAAAAGAGACAGTAGCTGATCTATCTTTATACAACTGGCTCTTTAGCCAGCTTTGAATTAGAATCATCACAAAAAATTCTAACTTGATACCAGTACTAAATATGCACTGATACTAAAAGAAAAAAGATGAAACAAAAAGCATGAAGTAGAAGTTTTGATAGCAACAATACAAAATGTAGAAGCAGCATTTCAAACGATATAACATGCACAGCAGTTTTAGTTTTCTTTCATCTAGACTGTGTTATTGACAATGCACCTTATATTAAATTAGCTTCCATCCATTTTCTGCAATCCTTAACTCTTTTCTGTGTTGAAAACCCACATGGGACAATGTGCTTGTGCTTATCTCCATTGGGTGTATGCCGGAGTACACCCTGAACAGGAAATTAACCCAAAAGACCCTCTGGGCATGCTTTTTGAATATGCTTTACTTCAGTACAGTACTTAGTGAAATTATTGATATTATAATTTGACAATTTTTAAAATAAGACTAAATGTATATATTCAATTCAGTATAAAGTTAGCTTAAATCTAAACTTCAGATGCTCTGAATTGGTTGTGTCCTCACCAGGTTAAACAAATCAGCTTTCTCAAAAGTGAATCGTCTGTGAAGCTGAGCAGTGTGTAGTGTGCTCATGCAATGCCGTTCCATTAATATTGAACATTGTTAATAGTGCACAAAAGATTAGGTGAGGAGAAATCAGATCTTTTTCATTTTCAAATAAATTCTACAACAGCGACAAATATGCATTTACACAGCTAAGATGATCACACATGCGATGTGGGTCGGCTTTTGCCAGATTTGATTTGCTCACTGAAATTCTGTGCATACCAATGTCTGAACAGGGAGGCTGCCTTTATCAGAAGCTGTGAGCAGGTGTGTGGTTATGCAAGAACGAAGTGAATTAGAGGAATTCTTTTAGGTGTGTAGCTCAACGTGTGTGTTCATGACTGTCTGCTAGACTCTTTACTGTCTGTGTGTGAGAGTGTGTGTCTGTGCAGTGTGCCAGAGATGGAGCAGTGTTTGAGTGTAATCTGGTTTCTGGGAATGAGTTTGGAAAATAACTACAAAGAGTCTTGCATGCATTCTTGAAGTGTTTCGCATACACGTCTATAAAAAAAAAATCATTGATATTGTGTAAAAAAAAAAAAAAATTCTTAATTCAGTTCAGACATGCACTTTAACAAATTTGAACAACCTGTTAAAATATGTTAATATGAGAATGTGAATGGCATTGTATATGGCTTCTACCCTTCAAAATCTCTGGATCAGATAGCCCTACTTGTTCACTTTCCTTCCAACTCCCCAAAGAGAACTGGGACACTTCTTTCTCTTGATGTCAATGCAAACATAGCAGAGTTAGGGGATTTATCCCATTTTTCTCTGACCGTATTGCACTTGGAGCTACTTCTGTAATTACAGCCACAAAACGGTTACCCAAATATTTACAGTGTTTTAAGTGGTGCCACTCCGAAAGTTTGAAATAAACAAATGAGCCTAATCTACAAATAAACTTGTTAGGTTTTAAAAGTCTGTACATTGACTATATGTATACTGTAATATTCTCAGCATTGGAGTTTTAGGTTTGACTTGCACTGTTCAATTTATTGATTTTTTTAAAAATCGGCAAAAGTCAGGATTATCAAAGTCTACCACTTCTTATTATAGTTATATTAATTTAAAGTTCTGTATGTTAGAGCAATACATATAGTATAACATTCCTTTGGTTTTTGTGTAATAAACTATTAGGGATGCACAATATTGGATTTTTGGCCGATATCCAATATGCGATATGTTAAAACTTATTTGGCCGATACCGATATTTTATATACTTTCCTTTATGAAAACGTAACCCTCTTATTTAGGTTTATCTGCTACAAAAATTGTGTAACAGCTGTAAGCGCTGGTGACATATATTCAGTAACAGCCAGCCATATGATATGCATAGCACTTTAACTTATATTAAATGAAAAGTGTTAAATGTTATTTATTAACGATGTAGCAAGGCTCTGACAAATCTGACATCCTCACCAACGGAAAAAAACCCATCCACACTGCCGACATTTTGAATTTTCCTCTCCGCCGTGAGATCAGGTAGGCGCACGTGACGTCATCACGTTGTGCTGCAGCTACAGGCATCCTTGTCACTGGGTTGTCATACAAAAACAGCGCCTTTCATATCTATGAGTTATTTTGATGGAATGGCCGATGTCCGATGCCGATAATATCGTGCATCCCTAACTGAGATGTCAAAAATTTGAAACATTGCCCACAAGGATCTAGGCAAAGAGTTTGGCCACTGTCTTAAAGTGAGCATCAGCATCATTAAACTGGTTAAACTGTCTGCTTTGAGTGTTTTTATTGTTATTTATTTAAAATTTGCTACAGTACACACATCAATAAATCTACTCATTTAAACCTAATATCCAGTAAAACAAATGATCATTGTTCATTTATTTTAATGTAGCAAATATGAAAATGAAATGAGTTTTGTTTTATTTTGTGTACAAATGCACATCAAATCTTGTTGTGTGTGTCGGTGCAGTTTCAGACCTCTGTTGTTGCCATGTAACATCCCTAATGAGTTGATGGGATTTTACCTTAGCCCCTGTTTCAACCTTCAAGCATGTTTATGAGCTGTGCTGTTGTGAATGCACCTCCCCCCCCACACACACATAAAATACTGACAGTATATATTTTTGTTTTCTTGATATTAATTCTCCCCCACTAAACATCCAAGCTGCTCCCACACTGCTTAAACCTGCTCCCCCAGCTGCTAGACCTAGCAGGATTACTCAAGGCTTACACACAGACACACATCTATGTGCACAGACAGTAGACATACACACACCCTCCCCTTCTCACCCTCTCTGTGTCTAATCGATGGGTGGATTAAGTTGTCTCCCCTCACGCCGCACAGCTGTTTCATAGCTTGAATCAATCAAAGCTATTAGACATTTAAGTTGAAACTGTTTGTTCACTGTTTGCTGAGTGTATTTGGCACCTTCCAAATGTTTAGGGTGTTAGTTTATCTGTGTGAACATGAGAGGAATGGAGTCCTCCTTATCTGGAGTTATGAAATGTGTCTGCTGCGTTCACTGGAGCAGAACAGCAGAGAACATCACATGCTGATCGTCTGAAAACATTTCTAGAAAAAGACCTTGTTTGTTTAAAAAACATTGACCCACAATGTTTCTCAGGATTCCCATCACAGAGTCACAAGAAGAAAGATGCTACACACACTAATTTTTCCATCGAAGATAAAACAAAATGGAAAAATAACCCCTCACACTCGCAACATCAGTCATAGATGGGTTTCTTTTAATTGAGCTATTGCCTGAAGCATCCTTTCTTGGCTGTGCTTGATTTGGACGAGTCAGACTTGGTTTGGCACGCAATGGTTTGTTCTGGCTGTGAGCAGTGAAAGAGTATTAGTACTGGGAGAGACAGTAAAACCTCTGGGACTGCCCTGCATTAATCTGGAAGGGAGGTGGAGGAAGGGTGTGCATTTATGTGTCATCAATTGTCAGCAGGATGTAGTACAGCCATCCAAAGGATAATTATGACTCTTGCTTCATTCTGTGTATTCAGACTGGATCTAGATCTGGATGGTAGACTATTCACATAGTAATCACTAATGTAAAAAAATAAAAAAGCATAGGTTTGCTGTGATTCCCACTTTAATTTAATAAATGGGCTTTTGTTACCACTCCACCAATTCTCTTTGCCTTTCAGGGTACATTCAACCTACTAATTATAACAGACAAAAACCTTAAACAATTATGATTCACTGTCAGAAAAAAATCTACCACATCAAGTCTTATTTATATACTAATACCTCTGAATAATAATAATAATAATAATAATAAATGAAACCAATTGCATGCAACATTTTGTTTAAAGCCTGTTTAAATTATGATCCACTTAAAAAAACTGTCTTTGGGATTTATTTATTTATTAGGTGTGTACATGAGCTACAAATAATGCACCAAAAAAACCTGCTTGTCAGCAATTATCTGAAATGCTCTGTGGGACATGAGTGTTCCTGGTGTCTCATGGTTATTGTATGCATATTAGTGTAGGTGTGCCTTTGTGGATGAGCTGTTCTTGGGTTTGATGTCATGATGGGGTTGCTACTTTCTGTATTGGTAATATAAAGCATATAAGAGAGTTTTGAGTAGATGTTTTTGTTATTGGCAGTTTAAAACTCTGATTGGAGTATAAAGGTGAGGTGAGGTGAGTTGGCTCAGGCATCTGGTTAGGATGCCTCCTGGACGCCTCCCTGGTGAGGTGTTCCGGACACGTCCCACCGGGAGGAGACCCAGATGAAGACCTTGGACATGCTGGAGGGACTATGTTTCTCGGCTGGCCTGGGAATGCCTCGGGATTCCCCCGGAGGAGCTGGACCAAGTGGCTGGGGAGAGAGAAGTCTGGGCCTCCCTACTTAGGCTGCTACCCCTGCGACCCGACCCCGAATAAGCGGAAGAAAATGGATGGATGGATGGATGAGTATAACTCTTCACTGACATGGTGGTGGACAGTGTAGTCACCACTGTGTCAGGTAGTAGAAAAACCCAACTTATCACTGATAGTTTGGCAGTACAGTAGACAGAAGCAGGTATTGTGAGGCAGGAGAGTTCATTTAAAAGGTAGACAGAAATGGATCCTCCTTGAATTGCCACCTTATTGTGGTGGAGGAGTTTATGCGCCTGAATGATCCTCGGAGCTATGCTGTTGAGGGCAGTTGTAATTGTCCCTGGCATGGTCTCCCAAGGCAGATTGGTCCTAGGTGACAGGCCAGATGAAGAGCGATTCTAAAGACTCATATGGACAGAAAATAACAGAACTCCGTGTCCCTTGCCTGACATGGGTTACCGGAACCCCACCATGGAACCAGGCCTGGGGGAGGGGCTCGTCGGCGAGGTCCTGGTGGCTGGATCTCTATGCATGGGGCCCAGTTGGGCTCAGCCCTAATGAGCAACATGGATTTGCCTTCCTGTGGGCCCACCACCTGCAGGCGGGGTCATGCAAGTCAGATGCAAGACACCAAAGGTGGGGGCCTTGGCGCTTTGACCCTGGCTTACCAAAACTGGCTCTTGGGACATGGAATGCAATCCCTCTGGCACGGAAGGATTTTAAGCTTGTGTGCAAGATTGAGAGGTACCGACTACATATAGTTGTGCTCAACTCAACGCACAGCATAAGCTCCGGAACCAATCTCCTTGAGAGGGGCTGGACCTTATGCCACTCTGGAGTTGCCCATGGTGAGAGGTACAGAGCTGGTGTGGGTCTACTCTTAGCCCCCTGACTTGGTACCTGTGTGTTAGAGTTTTCTCCGGTAGATGAGAGGGTAGCTTCTCTGCACCTTTGGGGATGGGCTCTGTTGATTGTTTGTGCCTCCACACCAAATGGCAGTTCAGAGTATCAGGCCTTGGAGTCCTTAGCAGGGGTGCCAGAAGGTGCTTCATCTGGGGTCTTCTTTATTTTGCTGGGGGACTTCAGTGCCCACATAGGTAACAGCAGTGTAACCTGGAAGGGCATTATTGGGAGTAACAACCTCTCTGATCTGAACCCAAGCAATGTTCTGTGGTTGGCCTTCTGTGCTAGTCATAATTTGTCTATCATGAATACCATGTTCGAACATAAGGGTGTCCATAAGTGCACTTGGCACCAGGACATCCTAGGTCGAATATCAATGACTGACTTTGTAATTTGTCATCTGATTTACGACCATTTGTTTTGGATACTCGGGTGAAGGGTGGAGCTGAGCTGTCAACTGATTACCACCTGGTAGTGAGTTGGATCAGATGGTGGGGTAAGATGCCGGACAGACCTGGTAGACCCTAACATGTAAGGAGGATTTATTGGCAATACTTGGCAGAAGAACACATCTGAAAGATCTTTAACTTGCACCTCCAAGAAGAGCTTTAACTGCATCCCAGCTGAGGCGGGGGATATTGAGTCCAAGCAGACCATGTTCTGTGCCACAATTGTTGAGGTGGCTGCCTTGAGCTGTGGCCGCAAGGTTCTTGGTTCTTCTCGTGATGGCCATCCTCAAACTCTTTGATTGACAGGGAGGCTGTCAAGCTGAAGATGGAGTCCTATTGGACATTTTTGGCTTTTGGTACTCCGGAGGCAGCTGAGAATTATCAGAGGGCCAAGCAGGCTGCAGCCTTGGCTGTTGTTGAGGCAAAAGCTCTAGTGTGGGAGGAGTTTGGTGAGGCTTTGTATAGAGACTCTCAATTGGCTCTGAGGAGATTCTGGCAAACCATCAGGCAGCTGAGGAAGGGAAATCAGTGCTTTACTAACAGTGTGTTCAGTGAAGGTGGGGTGCTGTTGACCTCAGCCAGTGATGTCATCAGAAAGTGGAAGGACTACTTCTTGGACCTTCTCAATCCCACTGGCTTGTCTTCCATGAAGGAAACTGAGTCGGTGGACTTTGGGGTGGGTCTTTCCATAACTGTGGCTGAGGTCACTGAGGTAGTTGAAAAGCTCTGAAGCTGCAGGACTCCAGAGGTGGACAAGATTTGCCTTGATTTTTTTAAGGCTCTGGATGTTGTGTGCTGTCTTAGACTACACACATTTGCAACATCGTGTGGACATTGGGGACAGTGCCACTAGATTGGCAAACTGGGGTGGTGGTTCCCTTCTTCAGAAAGGGGGACCAGAGCATGTGTTCCAATTGTGAGGCATTACTCTCCTTAACCTCCCTGGTAAGGTCTATTCAGGGGTACTGGAAAAGCGAGTCAGGTCATCGGTCTAACCTCAGACCCAGGAAGAACAATACAGTTTCAATCCTGGCTGTGGAATACTGGACCAGTGCTTTACCCTCACTATGGTCCTTGAGGGGTTATGGGATTTTCCCCACTCAGTCTACTTGTGCTTTGCGGACTTGGAGAAGAAGGCACTCGATCATGTTCCTTGGGGTACACTAGGTGATGTTCTGCAAGTATGGGATTGGGGGCCTGTTGCTACAGGGTGTTTGGTCCCTATACAAGGAAGGACCAGAAAGTTTGGTTTGCATTGCCGGTAGTAAGTCAAACCCCTTCAGGGTGGGTGTTGGACTCCACCAGGGTTGCCTGTTGTCACAGATTCTGTTCATAACTTTCATGAACAGAATTTCTCGGCACACCCATGGGGGCAGAGGGAGTCTTGTTCGGTGGCCTCAGGATTCCATCTCTGCTATTTGCGTATGATGAGCTCCTATTGTCTTTATCATGCCATGATCTTCAGCTCTCACTGGAGCGGTTTGCAGCCGAGTTTGAAGCGGCTGGGAAAAGAATCAGTGCCTCCAAATCTGAGACCCTGGTCTTCAGTCTGAAAAGGGTAGCTTGCTCTCTTAGGGTCTGGGGTTAGGTTCTGCCTCAAGTGGAGGAGTTCAAGTACAGGTCCTTCTAAAAAAATTAGCATATTGTGATAAAGGTCATTATTTTTCATAATGTAATGATAAAAATGAAACTTTCATATATTTCAGATTCATTGCACACCAACTGAAATATTTCAGGTCTTTAATTGTTTTAATACTGATGATTATGGCATACAGCTCATGAAAACCCAAAATGCCTGTCCCAAAAAATTAGCATATCATGAAAAGGTTCTCTAAACAAGCTATTAACCTAACCATCTGAATCAACGACGTAACTCTAAACACCTGCAAAAGATTCCTGAGGCTTTTAAAAACTACCAGCCTTGTTCATTACTCAAAACCGCAATCATGGGTAAGACTGCCGACCTGACTGCTGTCCAGAAGGCCATATTGACACCCTCAAGCAAGAGGGTAAGACACAGAAAGAAATTGCTGAACGAATAGGCTGTTCCCAGAGTGCTGTATCAAGGCACCTCAGTGGGAAGTCTGTGGGAAGGGAAAAGTGTGGCAGAAAACGCTGCACAACGAGAAGAGGTGACCGGACCCTGAGGAGGATTGTAGAGAAGGGCCGATTCCAGACCTTGGGGGACCAGCGGAAGCAGTGGACTGAGTCTGAAGTAGAAACATCCAGAGCCACCGTGCACAGGTGTGTGCAGGAAATGGGCTACAGGTGCCGCATTCCCCAGAGACTGTGTCAGAAGCATCTTGCCTGGGACTGCTGCTGAGTGGTCCAAAGTTATGTTCTCTGATTACAGTAAATTTTGCATTTCCTTTGGAAATCAAGGTCCCAGAGTCTGGAGGAAGAAAGGAGACAGAGAATTCACATTGCTTGAGGTCCAGTGTCAAGTTTCCACAGTCACTGGGGTGCCATGTCATCTGCTGGTGTTGGTCCACTGTGTTTTATCAAGGGCAGGGTCAATGCAGCTAGCTATCATGAGATTTTGGAGCACTTCATGCTTCCATCTGCTGAAAAGCTTTATGGAGATGAAGATTTCATTTTTCAGCATGACCTGGCACCTGCTCACAGTGCCAAAACCACTGGTAAATGGTTTACTGACCATGGTATTACTGTGCTCAATTGGCCTGCCAACTCTCCTGACCTGAACCCCATAGAGAACCTGTGGGATATTGTGAAGAGAAAGTTGAGAGATGCAAGACCCAACACTCTGGATGAGCTTAAGGCCGCTATCGAAGCATCCTGGGCCTCCATAACACCTCAGCAGTGCCACAGGCTGATTGCCTCCATGCCACGCTGCATTGAAGCAGTCATTCATGCAAAAGGATTCCCGACCAAGTATTGAGTGCATAACTGAACATGATTATTTGAAGGTTGGCGTTTTTTGTATTAAAAACACTTGTCTTTCATTGGTGCGATGAAATATGCTAATTTTTTGGGACAGGCATTTTGGGTTTTCATGAGCTGTATGCCATAATCATCAGTATTAAAACAATTAAAGTCCTGAAATATTTCAGTTGGTGTACAATGAATCTGAAATATAGGAAGGTTTCATTTTTATCATTACATTATGGAAAATAATGACCTTTATCACAATATGCTAATTTTTTGAGAAGGACCTGTATATTGGGTGTTTTGTTCACAAGTGAGGGATGAATGTTGCATGAGGCTGACAGATTGTTATGACATCTTTAGTATTGCAGACTCTGTGCCGGTCTGTTGTGGTAAAGAGGGAGCTTAGCAGTAAGGTGAAGCTCATACATGTCGGTCTACATTCCTACCCTCACCTATGGCCATGAACTCTGGGTAGGGACTGACATAACAAGAGTGCAGATACAGGCGGTTTAAATGGGTTTACTCCGCAAGGTTGCTGGACTCTCCCTTCGAGATAGGGTGAGATGTTCAGTTATCTGGGAGAAACTCTGAGTAGAACCTCTGCTCCTCCACATAAAGAGGAGCCAGTTGAGGTGGTTCGGGCATCTAGTTAGGATGCTTCCTGGGCGCCTCCCTAGGTAGGTCCTTTGGGCATGTCAGACAGGGAGGAGACTCTGAGGACGACCCAGGACATTCTCGAGAAACTGTCTCTCGGTTGGCCTTGGATTATTTCCAGAAGAGCTGAAAGATGTGGATGTGGACTTCCCTGCTCAAGTTGCTGCCTCAGTGATCTGACTTCAAAACAAGCAGAATACAATGAATGGATGGATGGATGGATGGATGGACAGATGGATGGAAAATGGGAGAGGTTTTAAGGTCTTGGACATGCTTGCATGACGGTATTTGCCTCCGTTACCTTTATCTTCTACAGAGCAAGTAATGGTTGGTATTCAACCTGTGCAGGAAAAATTGCATGTATTCTTCCAAAAAGTTTACATTGTAGAGCTAAGAAATTTACACTCTGGAATGCAAATTTGTTCGAGTTTAAAAACCAAAGACTAACATGGATTATATCGTAGGACAAAGCATAAATAATAAAAACAAATCTAAAAATCAGGTTTGAAAAACACTGAAAATAACTGCAACCAACAACCTTTTTTTTCACTTGATTGTTTCCATGTCTACAGGATAAAAAACAGCACAAACACAAGAAGAGTTGCCCACACACCAGATTATTCCACATAATCCTGAGACCGCTGCAGAGTGACAACTATACATACTGAGTAGCATCACCACTGTGTGCACCGATGTGTGTTTTCTGGTCCCAAGACTAAAGAGACAATGACGGAATGGTAGAATGTTACAAAAGAAAAGACCTGAAAAATGATAGGAAAGAATGAGTACAATAGGGGAACCTTACCAAAGTAAGAAGATCAGACCCTTTTTCGCTCCAACTTTGATTCAGACCTGTGGTTAAGTTTAGAGAAAAAGTGGAATAAAATTCACAGGAAATGGATGGAGGGGGTGAAGTTTTAGAGTTAATCCTAATTTGACATTATTCAGATGTGTGGTATCATGAACAGTCTTTATACCAAGTGTATAAACCAGCATTGTAGCTTTCTAGATCATACTAAACCAAAATTAGAATTATGGCAATAACACATTACATTTGTTTATATAAAAGGAATCCACAAAAGTCAAAAGACTCATTGAAGGTGTGTCCCAGTTCAAAGTTTTACCACTACAGTTTGTGACTTTTAATTAGAATAAGGGGTCACTTTAACTTTATGAGTAAATCTAGGATCTTGTTAGGTCTAGGAAAGTAGGGGTACATCTTGAACATAGCATTTAGTCTTTGGCTCAGTTTAAGCAAAAAATAAAATAACAAATAACTTTATTAAAGGCAATACATTTGTTGATTTGTAATTGTATTAAGAACTTTTTGATCACACAGATTTGAAGGATTTTATGTTAGTTCCATAGATGCTACAGGTTTACAAAAACCATGCAGGAATTGTTTAACTTTCCAAATACTTCTTTCCTGTTTTGCTTTGGACTCAACTTAATGACCAATGAGACTGTGTAATGTTTGTTTTGTTTAATTGGACTCAATAGTACTTTGCCTGGCTCTGTGTATATGTGTGTGTTAAACTTTCTGCCTTATCTAGACTTAAATAAGTGATGCTGTTTTTTTTTCTTCTTCAATGACTTTATGAGCAGCCTCCGAGTTTAATTAAGCTGGTCGCTGTCCAACCCCAACAGTTTATTTATAGGACAGGAAAGGCTATTTGTATCTGGAGGAAGTTTTGCACAAGAGTAATTTTTTTACTGGAAGTCTTCTTGCAATCATAATGGTCTCATGTTGGGCTTGCCCTTCCACTTTAAGTTGAAATGCGAGTACATTTTTGTAAAAGGACGAAAACAGGTTCAAGATGAATGATTATTTACAAGATCTTTTTTTATATTCTAAGGAAGTGGTAACATTTTATGTACTTGCACACTGCATGTGTTTTGTGTTTTGCCTGTTTACAACCTTCTTTTTCCCTCTTTGTTTTGTTTGCTTTGAGTTTAACAAAAGATTCAAGCTGCTGGTCCTCTTCTTGAAGAGTCACACTACTTAAATGTGCTGAATATAGTTTGGCATTATTTTGCTGAAATAAACATTTTGCTGATAAGACACATAGAAGCTTTATAACTGTGTGTCGAAAATATGTTGGATGGCTTTCTCTTTTAAAGCATGAAGGTTGAATAAGTCATGATTTCCCCAAAAAATAATCTTAGTGTTTTTTTATTCCTCATGCTACATCTGTTAAAATCAATCCCAGACAGGATCTTACTTATTCTGGTCTTTGTCTATTTATCATTGATCAGTTAATCTAATTTTTCAGAAGTATTTTGAGCCCATGCAGTAATTTCTGATAAAGATCTGGATGTATTATTATTGTTGGACTGTACCTCAGAATATGAAGATTCACACCCCAACCCACACACATTTTATTGTGTAGGGTGTGAGTTAATGCAGTAAAGCAAGAAGGGGATTTTTATTTTTATTTTTTTATTAGTACGTAATCAAATGCACATGGCATTTTATTTTAAATTTTCTTTTTTCATGAATCTATAATGTAGCTTCGACCCTGTAATATTGTTTCGTTTAACAATATTTAATGCTGTAGATCACAAAATCCAGACATTATTCTGAAAATAACATACCTTTATGAAATTGCTAAGAAAAAAAGTGTTCCTACTTTTGAACATGTGGCATCTGTTTTTGAATGAATAAACTCTTAAATGACATAGATAACTATTTTCAGATATTTCCAAATTTCCAGTTGTGGAACTTATAAAGAGGAATGAAAGATGAAAGTCAGATGTAGCAAGACAGAATACATTGGTGATGTTGGCTGGGCGGAGCTCCCCCCTTGGATAATGGTAGGGAAAACACTGGATACAGTTGTGGCATTTTTTCATTGTAAAGCCTGGCACGGCCTGGCCTGGCTGCAGTACGCCTGACCTTATTCTACCCCAGCCATGGTTGTTTGCTTTGAGCAGTGCCTCCTCGATATGGGTGGGGTTCATCATATCAAAAACATGTGATGTCATATTATTTTTGACAAATCTAGAGGAATACAC